GTACAATTATGATGGGTCTAGACAGTTTAAAATGATTGACTTGCTATTGGTTGGAATACTGTTCTGTCCTAAAGACCTTCTGGTGGTTGTTTGCAAAATAAATTCCCTAGGGGAACAATTCTTAATATCTAAAAGCTCATATGCTGTTTCTTTTAATACAAATACTCAAAGAAGAAGTAATGTATAGAAAAGGAGTGATCTGTCTAGGTATGTTGGAGATCCTTAAAAGATGAAAGAAAAGAGAATCAAATAGTTAATTTTCTAAACAGATATATAGCAATTAAAACTTATTTCTGAAATTATCATTCTTATTTAACAAAAAAACCCGCACAGTGACAGTATCTTTGGAATTATTTCAATGTTCTTAAAACAGAAAGGCACAAATATTTATAGTTATTTTAAGTTCAAAAGCATGCCCCTGTATTTGCTCTAATGTAAATATAGACAGAATATCTTTTTCCATATTTTTAGTTTTCTGAGGTTCTTTTAATTGAATTAATATTTCCCACCAGCCAGTAAACTGAAAATAAGAAAAAGCTGAAAAATAAATATCTGTTTGTTTTTATATACCAGTGAAACAAGACTGAACAGCAAATACTTTCTACAGAGGTTGCATTGGATTAGCTACAGAGGATGACAGTACAGAAACTGATTTTTATAGTGCTGAGCTCACCCTTTTAAGTGGCTTAATAGCAGTACTAAAACCACAAGGCATTTACAGACCATGCCCTATGTTGTATGGCATCCCTGCTCCACTAACTGAAGAAAGCACCTAATTTTTCTTATTCAATCAGTTCCTTAGTGCTTGTCTGCTCTGAATCATAAGCATAAAACTATGATGTATTCTAACCATACTGACTAGATTCTAAGTTCAGATTGTAAATTACCCTGGGTACACTGAGAATCAATGGAAGTGTTGCTAGTGAAGTCACTACAGCACTTCTTATATTATATATATGTATGTTCACTGACAATAAAGCTTTTATGTGAAATAAAATTTCATTGATAATTAGAAGTAGATTAATTTGGATAAATATAAACCTGACATTCTACCCATACCATTAATGTTCATGAAGTTCATTTCTAAACAAGTCTAACCTGGGGAAAGTTTTTTCTTGCATTTCTTTTTCCCCATCAAATTTCACTTAAAAGAACCCGGATTATTTCAGTGAGCATGGCAAGATAAGCTTTTGAGCTTCTGGTTAGTCTTGCAAAGAATATTCAGCCATCAGTGTTTATTAGAACTGAGGTTTCTCCGTCTGAACTGTCTCTTGTCCTCTTGACTAGAAAATTGGGACGAAATAGAAACATTGAGAGAATCTTGCTTTCAGTCTGATTCAACTGAAAGTAGCAAGAGCTGTTTAGAGAACTGTGACTTCTCATGTCAAAAAATATGTAAAGTAAATCAAACCAACCCATCTTGAGTGTTCCATGTATAGACTATATCCTAAATATATTCACTCTTTTTGGCAGAAGGTGGTGAGAGTGCTCTCAAATATTATTTCTACACATGGAAACAAAAGAGGTTAGGAATAGAGCACAAAACAGTTCCAGGGAAGATGCCTTAAGTAGGGATTGGATGCAATATATGTTTCTAATTATATTTTACCTGATGGTACTTGAGTCCTTCTTCTACTGTCTTTTCGTACATTCTGATTACCCTGCTTTCAGAAGGACTTTCCCTGATATTGGCTAAGTGAGAAATCCTAAATAAATCAAGAAAAAGTCTGGTCTTAGGTTTGGGGTTTTTTATGTGATGTTTTTTTAAAGGCAATTGGAGCTTGATTGATTCTATTTATAGCTTTCTTCTATGAGTGAGCTGCAATCAAGGATTTCTTTCAAGATGTTTTTCTTCAACTTTATTCCATTTCTCTCTAAGAAGGTGAGGCACTAGTTCAGGTTTATGTGGAGAGGAACCTGAGAGCACTTCAGCTGATGCTTTTAAACTGAGGGGATTCTGAATTTTCAGAAGAGAAACTGAAAGAGAGGCTGATTCTCTGTCCTCTGCATAGGCTAGCTCAAATAATGTTAAAATTTGTTCTGAGTGAAACATCATGAGAAACTTGTGGTAGCTTAGTATACGAGTGTCATGCTTGTTGCTGAATTCTACTTCTTAGGGGAAAAAAAAAAAAGAGCTGTTGAGGGAATAACTCCAATTATTTCCATGTCAGTTGAGTATATACCTCCAGAGTGAACGTATTACCAGCTTACTTGTATCTCAGTCAAACTCTTTTTCGATTTTTTTTTATTTATTTATTTTTTTTTTAACACAAGCCTGACAGTTACAGGAGCTACAAGCTAAAACTTCTGTGACTAAAAATGTGGGGTATTTTCCCCATGTATAAGAGATCACTGAGATGTTGAGCTGCTTATTGAAAATTGGAAAAAGGGAGCTGTTCCCCAGGTCGAAAGCCTGCCAGGCAACTTTGTTGACTGCCTTTTGCTAACAGCAAGAATTAAGACAAGAGAATTTAAAATACTTGTTGTCTTGACATTGTAGCTAGTCCAAGCAGCAAATCCATTTTCCTCAGAGAATGATATACTGAGCTATGAACAAAATAACTATGTTTACTTGCCCTTTTTTTTGTCTTGAAAAGATTTCTTTCCAGTTTCGTGGAAGTCTCTCACGCTTTTTTGCCTTTTTATAGCTTTTGAATAAATTACAAGGAAAGAGCTTCTGTACTGGATTTATCAATCCAGTACAGAAACAAAGTTTCTCAGAATTCTGTGTTTAAAAAAAAGTATCATGATGTATCATAGTTTCTGATTGATTGTCAGGGTTTTTTTCAGCTCTAATCTTTTGCAAAAATATTAGCAATATAAATCTTTAATGTTATTTTGTTTATGCACTGATATAATTAATTTTTTACTGACATAAACTTAGCCTGGTGAGGGATGCTTATTGGAAATCGCTGTATTGAAAAAGGACAGTATGTGAGATATATCTTTTTTATTACAGCAGCATCTAGAGGATTCATCTGAAATTTTATTTCCTCTGCTAAACACTGTATGAACACACAGTGATATACAGTACCTTACCCTACCTAGCCTGCCCACCCCCCGTGCAAAAAAACCCAAAAAACCAAACAAACCACCAACACCTGAATACAGGCAACATGCTCAAATTAAAATCAACACATTTTGGTGGTGCATAAAAATAAATGTAAGATTTGGAGACCACAACATTTTATTTATAAAAAACATAGAGCCTTTTTCTGAGAAGTATATTCACTATTCAGTCAAAGAACCAATGCCAAAAGCTGGTTCAGCTGCCAAGTTTTCAGACAAGGTTTCTGACTGGTTTACCATTTCCAAATTGCACGGGCTTTAAGATTGCTATCCCATACAGAGCACTCCTCTGTGAGCTTTTCATTTGGGCAACAATGTTTAGTTAACTATTTTTAAGAACCATAATGTTCATGCAAAAAACAACTTTTCCCAACTTTAGGATTCGAGTAAGAGCTTTGTTCTGTTATTGGTTGAGACTGCAGGCAGTGACTATCGAGCTGATAAATTGGATAGATGTGGAAATAATGGTTCACTAGAACTTTTGTCTCTATTAGAGTAATTCATAAGAATAATCTTAAGACATTTGGGAATTAATGTGGAGATTAAGGACAGCTGGTTTCAAAAACTTCTTAGAGAGTGAAACTAAAATTTATCTTTACGTTGTAAAAAGAGCTATGGAATTAAATTATGTCATCCACCACTTGAATGGTGGATGACATTCCAAGTTAGTCATGTAGTTGTAAGAGTAGCATAGCTGGGTATTAGAGCAGTGCATGTGTGCACATTCAGTGCACCTAAACCATAGATTTCTTGGTTGGTGCAGAATGTCCCTTAGTCATCTGTCTGCAGAGATGAGAAAGTAGACAGATTTGAAAGAACAAATCTAGTTGAGCAATGGGATTGAAAGAACTGGTTAGCATTTGGCTAACTGGTGTAGGAATCTCAGGTTCTCTTGGAGATCCCATAGGCAGCTTCTCCTGTTCTTATGCTGATTTTCCATGTGTCAGTTAAGAACCTGGCAATGTCATGGAAGACTATCCAGGTAGTTCTTGCAGCAGAACTGACCAGGTTGTGCCTACGTAAAATACTTTGAAATAGTAAGTGACATAGAAACTGTTCCTGTAGGTGTGAAAAGTTGTATAGTGCAGTCTTTTGTACATAGTGAAAACATGAGGGTGGTATTTTGTGCATCGTTTATGTTAATCAATAGCAATGGATCATGCATATGCTGGATGCCCGTGTAAAGCCATGGGCCAACAGTATTGTAAGATTTCAGCAAAACAAGTTTCCCACTGAAGGTGCTGTTGCAAGTATCCATACAACAGAGACCGTAGTTGCCAGGCAGAAAGCAGCCATCATGTTTGAGAGATTATATTCCTAAAGTCAAAACTAATAAATTGGTTTTCTTGAATAGTCACTCTCTCTGTTATATGTCTCTGTCCAACAGAATCAAGTTACAAATGGAGTATCTGCTTCAGTGTGAAAATTGCAATCATTATCCACAGAGGCAGAATAAAAAATTGGGAACAGCACAGAAATAAAATGTTAAATGGATAAAACCCTACAGGAACTACAAAGATTTTTCTTTCTCTAGGTTTCCCAAGAGTACGTCACAGTGTATAGTTATAGGTAAAGGAGTAGAAATATGTATTGAGTGTATAGATTCAATTTGCAAAAATCTCATTATGCATCATCAGAAATGAAATTTTGTTAGTATAAGACTTGAAAGGTGTGCAAGGACAGAGATAAGACTTTACACTGTATAGTTACCCGATAGGTCGTTGTGAGGGCATCACATGAACAACCAAGATTCTGTAGGTAATCACGTAGATGGATTTTATTTGTGATTGTGATAATGAAAGGAATTACTTCCCAATGTAATTTTAATTTACATATTCAGAAAGAAAAATAGAAACTTAATCATTTTATGTTGCGAGAAACATTACTGTTCAATTGGTAATTGTTCTAATTCTGAAATTAATTTGCATTACCTGGATTTGGTTTTCCAGTTTGATATTGCCTTGAATTGAAAAACCTGGAATTTAAACACACGTTAAAAAAGTCATGCTCTCTAGGTTAACAAAGACTAGGCAGTAATACTGGCCATCAGTTTTTGCGCTGAAAATGGATATGCCAGATCCTCAGCTACTGTCACATGTATGCAACAGGACTATATCTATTTTATTGACAGAGGGTTTGTCTGACAGTCCAACAAAATTCATGTCACTAAACAATTCCCTTGTTCATCTTTAGCAAACATTTAACAAACTGATTAGTTAATTGATGACATTCACATATTTCCCAAAAAGGACCTCTCTACCACATTTGCCACAGTCCTGATTATTCATAAATAATATTGATTAAAAGTACTTAGATTAAAGCCAGAGTAAAAGAAGTCCTAAGGCAATTTAGTGTTTTACCTGATTAACCTAGTATTAATCCGGATTTATTTTTCATTCTTCTAGCACTTTAGGAGTGGTGTGCTTTTACTGGTTCAAAAAAGCATGTTCCTGATCAGTGTGCAAAACATTTGATTTTTCTTTTTTTCCCTTTTATTTTAAAAATCTGATTTAATGAGTTTGGGGCATACAAAAAAACTTGTAGAGCAGTAGCTAACTTCTAACAAGTCCATGTAAAATGAAGCATAAATGGTAAATTAACTAAGTAAGTCACAGACTGATGAAGATCTACAAGGTAATTTTAACCATTTTTTTTTTTTTAAATTTACAAATAACAAACCTTACTCTTTAATTATTGGTATAAGTTGAATGCCGAGATCTTCACAGTGAAACCATTTTTCAAAGAGGACATTAGTTGATTCTCCAACATAGTATCTGCCAAAGCAAACACATTAGTCAATCCTTTTATTAACTAACTCATCAGGCAGTTTCAGTCTTTTGAAGAAAATAGTTACTTGATGTTATGTAAGAGCATGGGCTGATAAGGAAGCAAGGTGGCTTATGGACTTGTTTGTGATAAATAGGTGGTTTTCAACTGCATAGATTTGGGAAGTGTTTAGCTCAGCCCTCTGAAGAAGAACTTAGTGCTTCACTTGTATTATTTTATGTCTTAACAAATAAAGAAATTGTAATCTATGGCATGACAAATATATAATTTATATTCAGATTTTAAAATGACTGCATGGGCTGGCAAGGAGTGATGGGCTCCAGCACTGTCACTCACATCATGACTGGTTTTAAAAAGGTCCTCTGTGTCTTTTGGGTTAAAGTTACTGCAATGAGTTTCCAAAGTGGGAAACAAAGCTTATAGAATTATGCTGTGCATATTTGTATGTTCATATATGTCTGTCTTATGTATCTATATATATATTGTCCAGAAAGTCTCAAAGAGCTCCCTGGTTCCTCAAGTTTTGCAAGAACAGGGTATGCTGAAGACAGTAACATTATCTATGCCTCCAATATGGGGAAAAACTGTGCTACAAGCACAAATTTTGAACACACAGAATCTACAGAGAAGGGAGATGCTACAAATGTCTTTTTTGGTAAAAAGCTTTACAGCTGGGAAGGTGCAAAGGATCCAACAACATGAGTAACATCAAACTTAGGGTTTTTTGTACTTGTTTACCATGGGATTAAGATTACCTAAATCATTTTTCTTATAGCACAAGGCATGGAATCATTACTTATGCTGAAACACTGGGGCAGGCTACTTATTCTTTACTTGTATAGTAATCAGCATGCTGGGAGCTCTGATTTATGACTTAGTCCTGAAGCATGATAAATAGTGGAACAGTAACGTAATATTAGACCTTGAGTCAGCATACTTCAAAGTTCATTATGACTTCCTCTTGTACAGTCTTAGCTTCAGGTGGCTGGGAGTGAAAAAAGTTTGAGAAGATTAGAGGTTCTGGTTGTAAACTCCCATCTCTCTCAGGAGCACACAGAGTCAATGCAGGTTTAAAAGCATAACAAGATCACTTCCAAAACTTCAGGTGTCTTTTTTTTCATCATATCAGTGTAAAAACACAGGCACTGAAACCCTCGAAGTCAATCTTTTTGCAGGCACATGATTTTTAATTGAGAATGTGCTTTGTTAACTTCCACCTGCAAACCATATGGTAGCTTTTAGTTTAATATCTCCACAGGAGCATGCCTACATGGGCGTGCCAATCTCTAGATCTGCCTGGAATCCCTAAAAAGCTATTTAGCATTCCTCTAACTCATACAATTCACAGACCTCATGTACACAGTAGATTGTTTTACTTAAAGTTACCTAAAGCTACTTACATTCCTTTATTACATTAATAATAAACATTGTTACCTGAATCACTGGCCAGTTGTTTCTGGCTCAAAATATCTTTTTATAATCTAAGTCCTCACAATCCACAGACTGCAATGAAAAGAAAAAAGGGACAACTGTATAGATAAACAATGTTTTAAATGAACTGGACTTGTATTTAGCTTGGAATTTAATAGGGTGAGGTTTTTTTGATTGGTCTCTTTCTTAGTTTCTTATTTCTTTCTGTAACCTTTTTCATTTGAATGAAAAAGTATGTCTTTCCAGCCCTGCACATCTGCAATCTTCCTGCTGTGACGCTACCTATGCAACAATCAAAACTGTAGGCGAAATGACGGAAACAGTTCATTACAGGTATCACTGCAGTTTTAAATCTTTACAAATTACATGAACAGCCATAAACTCTACTTGGTCAGTCATATCTGGTTAATATTCAAACAGCTTTTCTAGGTTGGCTAATGTTACTGCTAATGTTACTGCTGTGACTTCCCTTAGATTTGTGAATTCTCTATGACCAGAACGCTTAATCCTGCTCCTAACTAGAATACAAAGTAACCCACTCACTTACATGGAGATTATGTTCTTGTAAGGCAATAAAAACTAGGCAGATGTGTGTAACTGACTTTTGTTTCCAGCTTCCCACACACGTGCCAAGAAAGCTGCTCTTCATCTTTTTGCTTTCAGTGCTTGCAAAGTAACTAATATTCTGCTTGCCAGAGTTAATAAAAAAATCTTTTTTCATTTGGGTTATTAGTGAGCTCTCAGATTTTTTTAAAAGCTAAGGTGATAGCAGTAGGCAGTACATAAGTAGATAGCTATAACCAGAACATACAATTAAGACATTTCAACATGTTCCTTGTTTAACTAAATCAAATGCTAAATGAGATCTCTGTTTACGTGTTTATAGACAAATAGATGTGTGGATAGAATTAGTATAAAATTGTCGGGAGAATCTGATATATCATCAGGAAAGTAAAAGACAGTATTTTATTGACAGGGGAAATTAGTTTATATTATGAATCCTAACACATTAGTCAACAGTTTATACTTCACCTTAGCCCATCAATTTCTGTTTTTAGTCTTTCCCTTTCAATCACAAGACCCACAGTGTTTGCATATCTCTGAGGAGAATGAGGTATCCTGGCAGGTAGGAGGAACATCTGTTCAAAGAAATGGGAAAGAATCAGTACAGGAAGTCTTTGTTTTTTGCATTGTCCTTCCCCTGCCCCCAAACCTGCAAAATCTTCTGCTCCTTGCCCCACTTCTTCTCCTCTACTCTTTGTTGATCTTGTGTTGCTCCTTTGCAGCTTTACACACTTTGGTACCCAAGCCCTGCAGACACTGTTTCTTGCTTTCTGTGTGAATGATGACAGTGACTCTGCAGTCAGCACTGCCTTTATGGCATCATTCTTAGACACAATTGAAGTGAAAATCTAACCAATCACTCATCTGGAATTTATAAATTAGTGCAATTTCTGAGTAACTGAAATGGAAATAAAAAGCAAGTTTTTGTCTAAACTAATAATCCGTGTGTACCCTTCCAACACAGTGAGCACCTGTGATTGCCTGATGAGGAGTGTTATTCTCCCCAGAAATAATTAACAAACATGAGGACTATTTATTCATGCAAGTGACAAAGGGAATAGGCAACATGTGGTTAGAAGTCTATTACTGAAGCTTGGGAAGAAGCCCTTTTTTAGCAGCTGTCTGACTGTGTAGGAAGGTGGTAAGCCTACACAGTGTTCTTCAGTGCTACAGACGTCTTTGCCAAGGGTGGGCAAGTCATTACAGTTTCTCTGTCTACAAAACAGAGCTAATGACAGTCCCTCACCAGTACTAGTGTCGTCTTTCCAGTAAAGATATTGTGTGCTCCTTTTCAATAATGCTTATGCTACATGCCAAGATCTCAGCTGGGCGTGCTTCTTCAGTCTGAAGTATATTACCAGAATATCACAGATTGAAAATGTAGTTCTGTTTCTTAATTGAAAAAGTTGTAATACTTTTATGACCTCAAGCTGTTGGGTTTAATACGCGTCTTCCATTTTAAGGGCTGTCCCGACTAGAACTAATAATCCTTTAAAAGACTCGAGTGCAGTTCGAACTTGTGTCAATAGCAATGAGCGGCACTTGTAGTATGTCTTACTTGTAGTAACACCAAGAAAAGCATCTACTCGTGCTCTCAGTAAAAGTACTACAATCTATGCTTTAGCAAGTTTACTACAAGGAAAAACTGGATACATTTTATCCATAAATGTCTCTTTTAAAACTATTTTCGTATCGTGATGGTTGTAAAGGCTAGCTGTGAGGACTAAGGGAGGCTGAAAACAGCTGAACCGTTTAAATTTCTAAGTTTAGGCATTTTGCTTACTGGCATGTGGGTGTGTGTGCAATATGTACCTAGCATTGTGTAAATAAAAGACTGATCCGCTTGAATTCACATGGAAGATTACATGGCATGCAAGGGAATAAGAACTTCTCTCAGTATATTCCTGACTATCTGAATAGGTATTCCAGATACTCAGAGATATTTTTATCTGTTATTGAAATAGTGAAATGTTGAACACAGTGTGTTGTAGTTTGCTGTTAATGACATGGAATTTGCTATACGCCATTCAAATTTGTTTTGTTTTGTTGGTTTTTTTTTAAATCCTGATGACATCTCTTGCACTGCAGGGATAAACTGATTTCTAAATACTACATAAAACATTAATTTAGCATACTTATGTATAACTATAATAGAAAGACAATCCTATTTTACCTCCCCTTCTCGGATGACAACATCTTTTTGTTTCCCATTTTCAATTATCTTCAAACACATATCTCCTTGAACCTGGTAAAAAAGCTAAAGGAATAGAAAAATAATATTAAGGCATCTACTCCAAAACATTCTGTACTTCATATTCTGTAAATAAGGGATACACATATAAATAAATTCAATCTGTAATTGCAAATATTTGCAGATTTTATCTAACAAGAAATAACATACTACCAATATTCGTTACTTTTGCAAATGTTACTAAATATGTATTATGTCTGTTATCTTACTAACAACTGACAATCTATCCAAGAGGTCTGTAGCTGCATGAAGCTACATATATACTAGGTTCTGTGAACCTAGTGGAATTCCATTGAACTGATTTTACCCTTGGAATTACTTCTTGTAGAGGTTGATATTATGGTTCAGGCATTTGTTAATTACATGATACATAAAGCTTCATTTCAAATGTAGCAGGGTCTTCATTTAGTCAAATTAAATGTCACTTTTCCAAATAAGCCCCAGATATGAATGCACAGATTTTTTGCGATGCTTTTCCAATTTTTTTAATGGAGCTTTCTCATTTGGGAAGAAGTGCCCATTTGGAAGCTGTTCTGCTTTATTTTTGTGGATAACTTCGAAGCCCAGCAACAGCTGCTACTCTTCCCATTGTGTATGTAAAAGGGTTACATTCAAAGTATGTATAAGGACAGAACCACTGAACCCATAATTCTGTCTTCAGTGATCTTTCCACAGCTGTTTTCAGATTAAAACCAGCTCTGGTTTGTGGGGGCTCTAAGGTGCTCAGATCTAGCCTCATGTTTCATGACAGAACTGTGCTATGATCTGTAGGCAGGTATTTTTGACCTGAAATAATGGGCACATTTTCCCTCATTTTTATATAGTACAGAGCAATAATGCTTCCAGAAGTCAACTTTTCTGCCATGTTTCTGCCTGCTTTCCATGTACCATTTACTGTATCTAGAACCTAAACAAATTAAGTCATATAATTGCTAGTACAGCTGAAAAAGTCTGAAACTTGATTCAAAGTTAGAATTATAATAAGAAAAACCTTATTTATATTAATTCACTACAATTTTAACAAAATATAAAATAGATGAGGGGAAGAAGAAACAGCTGAAATACACAAACACCCAGAACTGAACCTTTTCCAACACTAGAAAAGCTTAATCAATTTTTCAATTGCGTTTATTTCTAAAAGAGTTTTGAAATATTAATACATGCTACCTGGAATTGAAGAAACACCTCTGTGAACATGAAAAAGAATGAATATGCTGCCAAGGGAAAGAAACAATAGAGAGAATTGAAGAGCTACTGGAAAAGAGCTCATGCTGAGAGCTTTTACACGAGTGAAAAGTTCACCTTGTGCCAGGGACGTCACTACAGATAAATTACAACTCTTGTCTAGGTGGCCACAGTGCCAAGGTTACATATCCTCCTTGCACTCCATTTCTCTGTGTTCTTTTCCTGTCATTTTCTTTGGTGTTACCAAATGACAGTACAAAATGCTGTAGCAGCCCTTGTTACAGAGCTTTACAGTGTTACCTTCCCTATAACAACTGAGGGAGCTATTGCTGAACACGTGTAGGACGCGTAGATGAGGGAAAGGACAACAAAAGCAGAGTCTATCCTGCTCATGACATAAATCATGCAGCTGAGCAACTTTTCTGGAAAGGAAAGACTTGAGAGGGGATAGGGGCTGTCCAGTTCAGAAATCAAGCATCACAGTTATAAGGAGAGATTACGAACACTAAATTATGAATTAAAATAAATGTTTTGCAGCGGGAAAAGAGGAATTATGTGGGCTACACATTTCCAATGAAAGTGTTTTTCTGACTGAATTTAAATACTACCTTTCACTGTAAAATATGGTCTATTCTTCAAAACATTTTTTTTTAAATTGCCTGAGTGCTTCAGTCATCCATAAATCACGTGATGTAACTGTGACTAATACAAGTGGCAATAATTACTGAATCCACTATGTTGCCTATAATATAACCTGAACCTTTTATCAAGAAAACTGTCAACTCAACTATGTAATATCTCAGTGAGTTACAGTCCATACCCATTTCACAGGACAGTTTGGCAATACAGTACTGTCTTTTTGCTGGAAAGTTATGTTTTCTAAATACTGACTGAGCTTTGTCTTTTGGGCAAATCTAATGTTTTCCTAAGTCTCTCCTGGAAAAATGTCAAAGCCTGAGTAAAAAATTTCTGTTGTATATGTATGTATATAAACAAATATATATGTCTATATAGATAGCATAGTAAATCAATAGGTTTATGCCACCTGAAAATATAAGCGCTTTTCCAATTGTTCTATTCTTATGGGAATCACGTAGTATCCACTCTCTGCAGTAGTACCAAAAAGTGAGAAAAAGTGCAATATTTCCACTCCATAAGCACCTTATTAATGACAAGATCTCTTGTAACATGAAATATATTAATATCCTCATAGAAAAACCCAGATTTGTATATTGCTACTGCACAATGGGTCATAATTGGGTATGTATTTGTCTTTCTGAGTGAAAAATGTATTTTAAGAGAGAAAAAAAGATTGTTCACTAGTCTTTTTATCCTTTTTATTACTAACTGTGCTTATTTATTATTACATCTTCTTTCTTTCTTCCTTTTATTTTCCAAGTTTTTTTCCTTTGGTTTAGTTTTCCTGCTTATTATGTGGTGCCTTCTCATTAAGATTACACCAAAAACACCTCCTCTTAATAATTCTCACCTTACCTCCAGAAGTTGAACTACCTCGACGTGCTTAACTGTAAATGTAACATTATTTAATAATATTCCTCAATATGATTATTAAAGCTGCAGATATACCTATGAAAACTAAACTGAAAACACCTTAAGACTGAGAGTTTGTTTTTAGACTTATTTAATTTTCCTTAAATTCTCTTCCTTAGTCTGCTTCACCCTTCTCGATCATGCTTCAAACCTGATAATATTGTGTTAAGCTTGCAGGTGAAGACAGCATGACCCGTGCTGAATCACTCTCAAGTCTGTACAGGGATATTTCATTCAATCATGAATACTCATACAATAAATTATGCTGGCATTTCTGGAGACATCAGGGGGAGATGCACAAAGGTGAGAGTTCACTGTTGGCTTCACTGAACCTGCTTGTCTTGGTAGGAATTAATTTCAACAGCATGGTAAAACATGTATACTACCTTAAAAAGAGCACTATTATCCCCACCATAGTAACGTGGTGAGAATTGCTCCTTCATCCAGATATATGTGTCCTAGCAGAGTAAAGAAGGAAGTATCTTGTAGGGAAAGAATACAGTATTTATTATTGATCTGTGTTTGCTAATTTAAAAAAAAAAACAAAACCACAAACCCAAGTCTTTTTTTATGTACAGTAATGCATGTAATTTAATTTAGCTCCACCTTTGATATCAAACTCTGCCTAAGCACAGCAGCCCAGAGCTATGTGAGGGCTTTTGTAGCTGACAGCTTATTTACAGACCTCTAAAGGGACCTGCAATTTGCAGTGTACTTTGAGTACTGACTTCTGAAAGTGGACTTTGGGATTGCTCAGCCACTTCTGGGATTAGGCACTGACTTGGCATATCCTGGCTTACATTGCTTGTCATATTGCTAAGTACTAAATTAATTTGCAGAGCAAATCAAATTCTGATGTGGGAGTAGAGCCTGGGTGTTCTCCAGACTTCAGTGGTGACTGATCTATTTAAGCACAGAAAAACAATTTTCTCCCTCTCTCATCACAAGGGTTTTTCAGCCATCGGAAGTCTGGAAGGCAAACAGATGAGGAAGGTAGAGAAAACTATTTCGGTGTGGTTTTTTTTCCCCTCTGCTAATTTACATGTCATCTGTGAAACCTGAATACTAGCCAAACCCCATCCCAACAATCTTACGCAGCAGACTTATTTTTGAAGACACAATCTCCTTCTGATAGAAAAGGATGATCACTCTTACTACCTTGTAAGAGGTTTGTTTCTCATTCAAATAGTCCAAGAGTCTTCACCAGATAAATGTGGGGTTTTGTAAAGTAAAGAAGCAAAAATATTTTTCTTGTTTTGTTGTGACTCATGTTTCAGATTTATTTGGGATATAATCACCACAAAACTACCTACTGGAATGCTCACCTAGACCCTCTTTCCCCTCATTTTCAGACATCCACTATCCTCATAAAATGCAAAGGGTGGATTGATCTGATAGGGAGGAGTTTCTCAGAAGCATTCTGATTAGAAAGCAGCATACACTAGAAGGGGTCAGGCTTCATTTAAGCAGATAATTTGTCAGAAACTGGAGCCAAATCTTACTTGTGGTGTGAGAGGGAGAAAAAGAGAAATCAAAACTCAGGTTAGAAAACTCAGATGAGCTGTGGCAGATGTGACCTCAAATCTGTATCATGTTTCAGAGCATAATGCTATACTGTGTCTCAATCAGACCATGTAAATATGCTAAGAGAAGCTGAAGAGATATTTCTGTTCTGACAGTCCTCTTCAGGACTGCAGTGTAAGGGCTCTGATCTGTGGGGTTGTGTCATACTTAGGTGGTTCTATCAATAGGAAACAACCTAGATGCTGAGAGAAGAAACTCGGGGTAAAATACAGCACAATGACAAGTGGGACTTTTAAACCAATATGTGCCAATGCAAATGTGTTGCAGGCAGTAGATGAAAGGGTGATTTTAATTTCTCTGCATGGAGCTGCACTGTTTTATATAGACTCAACATCAGAACATAAATTGTTAAGAAATCAGTCAGATACTTGAGATTGTGTTTAAGTGGTGGACTGAAGCGGGTAAAGAGACAGAAGCCTAACTACTTTTGTGATCCTATGTTTAGCTGTTAGCATATCTCACTTTCCCCCAGAGCAGCCCACATGATGCAGTAAATAAAATCTGAAATTCTTTTACTATAGCTAGGCTTTGTTATGATTGTGGGGTTTGTCTGTCATTAACTTCCTGCAAAATATATGGTCCCCTTCTGTTTTCACTTTCTTTATTTCTTTGGAAGCTATATGATGAGCTTAAAAGTTCAGAAAGGGTTTTGTTCCACCCTCAGGTTTTACAAGTAAGGAAAAATGCAGTAAATACACCATGAAGTTGAGATGTGTTAACACCAAAACTCTTCTTGTCATAAATCCTACTGTATGATGAAAAATTCAAGAGACAAAGAAAGGTATGTTGAGAACTCTTCTCTGGTACCTGGAATGCACCTGCTACCCCATAGCTGTGAGGGGTTGAGCACAAGAGGACACAGCCTCAAGTTGTGCCAGAGGAGGCTCAAGTTGGACATCTGTCAGAATTTCTTCATGGAAAGGGTTGTCAAGCATTGAAATAGGCTGCCCAGGGAGGTGGTGGAGTCACCATCCCTGGAGGTGTTCAGAAAAAATAGACATGGCACTTAGTGCCATGGTCTAGTTGACAAGGTGGTGATTGGTCAAAGGCTGGACTCAATGATCTTGGAGGTCTTTTCCAACATAATGATTCTGTTATTCTGTGATCATGTCAGGCTGCCACAGAAGCTTTTGGTGGCCTCATCAAGTTGACTACACAAGAATTGTAGTTACTAGTTAATGTAATACAAAATTCTCTTAACAAGTGAGGAATAATAATTAATTTGAAAACCTCACACCACTAGTGATATAGCAAAAACCAAGAAAGTTTTGTCTGTATGAGCTATATAGGTGCATTCTCACAGCACTTTTTTTCCCTGTTTCAACATAAGATGCATTTCCCAAAGCCGCTCAGTTTCATTTTGAATGAGTCTGATTTAGAGGCAGAGAATGTCCCAGGAGATGTTTGCTGACTATCTCTGTTCTGATGGAGAAGGGAGCAAAAGGGAACTTAACACTCACAAATAAGAAAAAGAATGAATATGACCTAGTGGTAAAGTCCAGCCAAAGACTCTGAATGGTTTACCTCTTGTAAGGTGCAGCTTGATTTGGCTCTTTATAAAACCTGTCCAATGGAAAGCAATCTCAGGTATGAGGCAGTACTTTTGTGCAGAAAGGTGGCAAAGAAGCAGCATACAGAAATTTAAGAAGGAAGTGAAGCAATACAGAGAAAACTAAGAAGGAAGAAAAGAGAACAGTTAGTCATTTAGGAAATGCCTGCTTGTTGAGAGGAGGAAAAAAATTTGTGCTAGACTAGCTGTCATTTTAGCCTAAATGACTGTTCAGGAGACAATTCTAAAAGGCCTTGAAGAAAGTCCAAATCAAGCCTCCTTTTTTCTCCTAATTAGCAGTCAGAACTAATCTTCCTGCTACACCTGCATGTTAACAGCACCAGCAGAGAACAGCTCAGGAGCAGGAGGATGCTCCTTTGCCCTTATCTCTGCATGTGAGCCCCTTGCTGCTATGAACTGCAGGCTAACAAGCACAAGTTGTGCCACAGGATGCACCATAAACTCCGGGATAACAGGCGTAAGATATCAAGTGGACAGATAAAAACAATCCTAAATTTAACTTTCTCTCCAAAGCAACCCTTCTTTGCTATCAGAATACTACTACAAAATAGCATCAGCTAAATTGGCCTAAAGGATTTGTGGGGTTTCACATTTGTGATAGGCCTGTTGACAATGTGCCTGTATAATCTGTCTTCGAATTATCACACAGAACTATAAATGACCTTTTTATGCCAAAATAATGAGCTGAACATGGTTCTGAATGGTGGTTTTTTTAAAAATCCAAAGTCTAATTTAGGAATATGCCCTTTTACTAGGATACTCTCTACCTCACAATTCTTCTCTAATGAGAAACATGGTTCTAAATTAGATCACAGGAAGGTGTAAATGTGTCTGATTAAAAACCTATGGTAAAATGCAAAGAATGAATATAATGTACCTCCATAAAAGTGAACAAAATTGGCCCATATGTTAAACTGCTATTAACTGATAATGCTTCTGATGTGTGTATTGTCAATTTTCCCATGTAATAGGAATTTTATGTTTCCATTTTTGCTTGCTGAGTAATTGTGAAAAGTTTTCTATGTAAATAAGGATGCATTGATACCTAAAAAAATCTTGTTTCCAGTTGGATTAGCAATAATATATCAGTATGCAACAGTATAATAAAAATTATGCCTTTATATATATGGCTAAATTTTCATATTGTTGTAAAGTCATATAAAGAGTTTATTAAAGCTAGGCCAAGTTATTTTCAAACAGAGGAACATCTTGCAACATAAAAAAATGAGGTAAGTTAAATTAATCTAACTTCCTTTTTAAGGGAAGGGGAGGAGGAGATAAAGTAAAACAAAAAAACAGAAACAGCACAGGAATGAGTGGGAAACCAAGGATAATTTAGTATAAACTGTAAGGTGCAGGGAGAGACAAGACTGTAAATAAAAGGACAAAAAAATAAAGTTTAAAACTGTTGCACCAGTTAAACTTCAGCTCATTTTTGTGTATTCCTCTCTTAGTGTTTAGCTCTAATGTATTATTCAGAGTAAGAAAATAAACTAATTGTATAAAACCAAAACGGTTAAGTTAAGTGAAAAAAAAATTTGATATCATTAACCTTCACATGGTACCTTCACATACGTTCATTTTGTACTTTTCCAAACCTTGGTAACAAATTTCACCGATTCTTTTTTAATCCAACATATAATACTTAGCGATATACAGTAACAGCAGGACACAGATTAGATATTCTCCTTGGTGTTTTCTTAGCAGTCTTGCTACAGCTGTGATGCTCCTTTCCCAGGGATGTAATTCTGTTGACGAAGCCAGATTTTTTTTTTCCCACAGCTGTAAATTATCTCTGTAATTTCCTTGTAAATATAGGATGGATACATGGACTGCCCTGAGACCTGGCTTGCTTCCTCACCAGCCCAAGCAACCTGACAGGGTGATCCTGGGTCTTGCCAGAGCTCCCCCTGCCCAGCCCATGAGAAGGGACCTAATGGAGTGTGTTGGGTGACCTGGTATGTGACGGACATGCCTGTGCCCACAGCCACATGTGGGCTGTGGGACCGTGGTGGCAATCCAAAGCAGGCAGAAGTCAGACAGTGGTAACTTGGCACCTGGTCTTTTAGAGCCTTATGGTTATAATGACTACAAACACCTGCACAGCACAATTATAACAGAAAATTAATGAAGGCTGTTGTGAAATGCTTGGGGGCTGGTTTTTGGAGAAATGATTTGATGATAAGTAAACCAATTTTTCTTTCTGTTTTTACGGATTTTTTGAATTTGACCCACTTTTACCTTGAACTATGTAGATGCATAGGTTTGGGTTTCCAAAGGTACTTAAAATTAGGTGGCCAAATTTTGTTGGAATTACATGAAAATAAATTTTTCTGCCGGCAAGCAAGGGAAGTTGTTCCCCATCATGACATCCTCACTGCTTGGCCTCTAGTGATCGTTTTCCCTTAGGGTTCTTTCAGTGCCAATTGTGGATCCAGAGAAGTCTTCAGGCCAAAGAGACAATTCCAAAAAAAAAGGCATTAAACAGGGTAGGTGTAAATTGTTACAATTTTGATAGGATTCTCCTCTTTTTTTCCTGTATTCTGCATTTGGCACAATGGCTACTCCCAATTAAAAGCAGGGGGATGGCTTAGTCTTGATACAGAAGATGTGCAGCAAAGGGAACTGATTTGAAAAATATTTAAAGACTCTAACTTTCCAAGCCTGAATGAAAGCTGAAATGCCGATAATTTTCACGAAGTCTAGAAAAAATATAATTTCTAGTGAATTAAAATATTTAATTTTGATTTTTGAATGTCAAACGTACTTTTGAAATATAGATCGACCTTCTGCAACAAAATATCACTTTAAAAATATCAATACCTTTCCAAAGTTTTGTTCCAAAATGTTGATGTGAGACATTTTGATGTGTCAGAATACTTTCTCTAATTTCCTGTTGGAAATGAATTATAGCAAAACAGATCTGATCTCATGTGCTTGTTTCAAAGGAAATGCACAGATGGTGTATGGTTCTGGTGAATGATTCTGTTGAAGTCTATGAATACATCTAATAAATACAACATCACTAAGTCTAGCATTGCTAACTTGAAGCTGTACCTTCAAAAGTAGATGCATTTTAGTCATTACAGATCAATTAAATCAGAAAAATATAAACAACCTATATGTTACCTCTTCTCCTTCTTCAATATGATAATCCTTCCTTTCATTTGGCCCTCCAACAAACATCACATTTAATTGATAGCGATGCCTAGAAAAGAAAGTGACATTTTAAAGCTACCTCTATTCATGATGTTATTTTTTTAACTTATTTTTAAAAATTCTCTTAGGACAGTGAGTCAAGGAAACAATGTTGAGTGAAAAGCAACATCCAGAATGAGAATTCAAAAGAGCTTGGATGCATCTCTCTGCTCTGTCACTGTCCTGTTGGGTGATTTGAGGCCAACTACCTCCTTGCTGGTGTTTCAGTGCCTCCAGATATGAAAAGAGGACAACAACAGCTACCAACTGTGGAAAGGACTTTGAAATGTAAAGATAAAGAATGCTACCTAAGAGACAGGAAAGAGGAACATGGATCTTTGCCTTGAGCTGATTATGTAAAGACAAAACTCTTTTAAAAGTTAATAAAGTAAAAACACATTTTTCCCCCATAGCGGTAGAATTACCAGAGATACTGATGGTAGCAATTATCAGTTAATTTCTCTTCTATTTATACTGATTTTGCTAACCTGGAACAATGTTACAATAGTTTCAGTGGGGTTGTGGCTAATTCAGAAAGGAGATTCCAGGCCCCTTCTTAACTCTACCTCTTTAAGAGCCCCAGTGAGCCCTTCTCTCAGCTGTCACAAAGAATAGCTATCACCCCAATTACCTATCAGACCATTTACACTAATAAAGAGGTAAGGTAACAGGTTTTCCTTTGCTAAAAAAACTCTAAATCAGGACTGTTAGCTGGGATTCAAAATTTGTTCTTATGTCTCATTATGGTAAGCATCATATTCTGAATTCAGAAGAAGAGTTTTAGAAATACCTGTAAAAATCAACTATGTCAAAAGTTTTGATTTTACACTAACTTCTCTTTGTTGAGGTTAAAAAGCATTTAAACTTGTAAGATTAGTACAACTAATTAAAATACAACATAAGAGCCGCAATTTAATTAGATGTATCCTTTTCTTGACTTTGGTAAAACTCTAAACAGGCAGTGCTTCAGGAATTGAAGTTTTTTTTTGAAAACCCAAATCAGCATTCAAAAATTTTGATTTTCTTGAGTGTATGGAACATAACTTAATAAAAGTTTGAAAGTCATAATAACTTTAGACACTCAACTTTAGACACACTAGTGATTTGCTGTGAGACCTAGTTTTTAACTTTTAATTCTTTCTTAAAACATAGGATTTTAAGTTACTTAAATGTTTTGAGTGGTTGCCTTCCAGTGAGGCAGTAGGTGGCAGTGAGAAGGTTGCCTTGCAAATCTTTACTCAGCATATAAAGGATGAAGCTTTTAAAAAAAAATGTTGGAAATCTATTAATTTCTTCTTGGAAAATTGCCCAAAAGTTTTTGGAAAATCCTGAAAACATTTAGGTAGCACCAGAAGCAGGTGATGAGGGACTCGGAATCCATGCAGTAGATGTTTTTCCTCTCCTCCTATATAGGCTAAGGTTATATAGCAAAAATGGATTTTTTTTTAAAGCTATGCAATTTTTATCACAAAAAATGTTTCTTGTTTCACTGTGGCTTCTTGCAGTGCTTCTGGGGAAGGCTATTGATAGATGTCACATTTCAAAGCTACTTAAGGATTACACAGAACTTCTGGTAGGTGCTACAGTGCAATAATAACAAAAAAGGTTCAACCTACTGATAACAAAAGAAATTAAAATACTAAAATTTTACCCTTGTCATTGGTAAGCTTTAGAAATGGATATGCTTTACAAAATCCTTCTAATCCATTTTGAAAATGAAAGGAATGAAACCAGCCATAACAAGAAGATAATTTCCTCATTCTCTCCAATTGTGAAACTATTGCAGTGATTCAAGTTTCACAATTTTTCAGTTCAACATACAACTGTAGTCTCAACACAGACATGGCAGTAGGGATGTGCCCCGTACCTTTTCTTTGCCTTGCAACCATTGCTTTGAAAAGTAACCCTTGCACCTGTGAATGGAAATTAATATCATGGCTACAGAATTGTCCATTCAGCTTTTCATTAAAGATAGCACTTCAGGGTAGGGCAAGAGGCATATTCTTTGATATTTCTTTAATGGTTAAAATTATAAAGCAGGATTATTATTTTAATTAGAGTTAAGAAAAATCCTTTTTAATTTCTTTATAAAATCTGAGTCTATATTACTCTTTAGAGAGGATACTTCCTAATGAAGCCTCTTGTATACGGAGTTTTAGACAAAAGATGTCCTCAGCTTCACTGGAAAAAGAAATCCTTGCTAATGTTTTGACTAGAAGCTGCAATACATTGGACAATTTACACTGGAATTTATGCACAAGCTTTGACATTGAGAATATGTATAGTGTACAAGTGTGTAATACCCACACTTTTTCTCTTATATTACCTGTCTCATTCAGAATACAGTCCATAGCTTTTAAACCGCCTCTTCAGCCTCCCCTACCCTCCTGACAGTGCTGGAAATGCCTTGAAAACCTGCTCCTCCAGTGCCCTCACTGTTCCTTTCTCCTTGTTTTCAGTGATATATACCGATGGTTATGATTGCTCCTGCAGCTTTGGGTCCTCTGTGACGTTGGAATGATTCTCAGCAGCTCTATCAGGTTATAACTTAGTAGCACTAATCTGTTAGCTATATCTTATTGTTTGTGGATGTGATGCCATCTCCTCTGATTTCTAGTTTACTGTCACAGAGCCTGACACAAATGCTCTTAACTCAGTCTCACTGCCTACAAGAGACTTCGAGTTGAGGCAAGTAGCTTGTATTGAAGTTGATCTTTGCAGCTTCTGCTGAGTCACTACAAAACAGACTTCAGCCACTATCAGTTCTTCAAAACAGCATTCTGACTGCAGTCTGATGAGGAACTACAGTTCCTTAATAATCTTTACCATGTTATGCATTTTTGCCGCTTCCTCTTATAGCTAGAAATATTTATATATCTAATAACTTAGTAAAAGAAATCTTCATTTACTTACATAAGCTTATTGCAAACAGGTGGCAAAAAGGCAGTTTTGTTTTCTTCTATCCATTTGTTCACATTCACAAGAAGCTCCATGGTCCACCAGCTATGAAACTTTTGACTGAGATATTAGAGTTTGCAGAATGCTCTTCCCGTGAGCAAACAGCATGTGATTCCACCCCCAGTGCTTAGGGGTTGGCTGGCAGTAGAGGTGTCTTCAGGCTTCAGTGTCAGAGGGGACAGGTCCATCAGCCAAAGGTTATTTTGTAGAGTACTAATGCTCCAGCAGCTTAGCTAATAATTGACTAGTGTTTCTAAAATATATATTTTCATTGGAGACTGTTTTTTGCCCACAGGAGGTTTCTTGATTCTCTTTACTGCATCAACTGGGGTGTGTATGTTACCTCTACAAAAATTGCCTTGTTACACAGTGAGAAAAATGTGCAAAGCTTGGACCTCCCTGGGATCTTCTGCCAAATAACCAAAGTACAGATGTCTCCTGCATTTTTAAGACCAAAGGCAGCTGTCCATAAATGCTCATTTTAATTTGATCACTCAGTGCCAATGTTGTAGCAGGACTTGTTGGAGAGCTGAACCTGGTTCTGTGATGCCCTTTGGTAAAGTGCAGCATGTTGCCATCAAATTGTCAGGCAAACAAGAAACTGAGAAGTACTGGGCATCTCATATCTGTATTAGTCTTTATTCCCTCACTAGTTTCTGTTCAACGCCTACATAGTTGCTACAGGACTGCTCACTGTGTTCCCTACCACCCCCAATTTTTTTAATAAGCAAATGTGTAAACATTTTTTTCAAACTCCAAACATGTGAAATGGGTGGTAAACAAAAAACCCAAAGACATTACAATATTTTAGCACTTTGGTCTTGACATAGCTTAGTCTTCTGCTTATACCTACACTGTGCTTAGTGGGTGAATGTGTCTGGGTATATGGCTGTAACATGATTTGGTTAAAAGTGAGTGGTGTATCCTCTGTGGTTTGCACATATGGGCAGTACAGCTATGGGACTGAAGAGTCAGCATGCTGAACAGTACGAATCTGGAGATCTTTACCTTATACCATAGTAATTTTGCATGGAAAAAAGTAAGGGAGTATAAATTTGAATTAATATTATGCACTTATTCAAGTATGTGATTCTGTTTTACCTTCATCTCTACCACTTCTTTGCAGGTTAGTTTAAACTCATCTTGTAACTGATAAAAAAAATACATTAATTTTGGGATAAAAAGATCCACATGTGGATTACAGTTCAACTGTATTAGTACAATCACAATGGGACTGGCAATAATTTCCTCTGAAATAAGCCCAAAGTAATTATTATTTCATTCAATTATAAAACACCACCACCACATTATTTATTTAAAACAAGAAATTTCTACCAACAGAATGGCTGTGGTGAGACACCAGCACACAAGAAACTCATTAGGCCTGTTTCTGGACTTACAGATAGGTGTATTTTGATAGTTTTTGTTCTGTAGGCTGCTGGCAAATTATTTAGCTGTGACAGAAAGAGAGCTTATATTTAAAATGCACTTTCACTTAAGGGATTATGACCCAGCCTCATGGGACTGGAGAACTGAAGACACTCTATCTTAACGATCACGGTTTTGTAAGGTTTTACCTCATCATTAGTAACAGGTATCACAGAGCAGGACTTCATTTGTTGGGCATGAAAGCCAAGGTACTGTACAAAGTCACAATACGAAAAACTACAGATCCTGGAATTGATTGAGCTAATCCTTTATCACCACACTATTAATGTGCCAGTTTTAACGGCGGGCTATTGTCCACAACCCCTACTTTAATCCCTAGTCTCCACTTTTTTTCCCACTAGGCAGAATACAAGCTACTATTACCTGCAGAGAAAACTTTCTCAGTCACAGGCTGATAAATCCATTTTGTGGCTGGATTGAGGTAGGAAAACCTAGACCTACTCAGGAAGGAAACAACATGCACTTACAAAATTCACCATTAGCATGATGCCGAGGCTATTATTGCAGGGTAGTATTTTCTGCAACCTTCTGAAATCAATAGGTTTTGAAAAATGCAGTTAATGGCCTCTTCATGCATGTAACAGTGGGGCTAAGAAATTATCTGCATGGTAGGAAAGTACTGGCCATGAAATGCTACTTCTGTGAAGTATGTTGGAGAGCCAAAGAAAAGAACCAGTGTTGCAGTCTCTGTGAGACCCGGGTAAATACATGCACCTCATACACTGCATGAACTGACTGGGGCCTGGATTTTTCTTGCTAGTCTGCTTCACAGTGACTCTTCACATCCATCAAAGCCTGTTTCAGCCGCTGGGGTTTCTGTTCTACCATTTGGCTCAGATCCTTCCCTTTCTGTAAAGGTAAGGACTCTATTTGTCAGCTTTCACTGCCAGAGAATTGCAACAGTACTGAATCACAAAACTGCTACATCAAAATAATCCATCTTTTGCATTGAGGGTGCAGGAAAGAAATGTTAAGTGAAAAAAACCTGAGTTTAGGACAACACCTACTTTATTTTTCTACTTTCCTCAAACACCAGACCTACTAGAGACTTAAATTTACAAGTTGGTGTCCAGCAAGCAGAATATGTTAATAAAAAGCAAAAGCTAAATATTGTGTTTCTAGTTAGAAGGAGTATTAAGGCCAGGGGTCATTGGCCAGGATTTTTATCCGTATTAAAGTGGTATCTGGTCATATACTTTTCTTAACTATACTCCCTATACTAATTTTTTTTGTTCACCTAAAGAAGGTGCTAAAGACCTAGAATTCTTTAGAGCCCCTGGGAACAGGAGAGGCAAATAGACCATAAAGCCAGCAAGTGTCTATACTGCCTCCTCCACTCAGCCCATTCTACTCTTGAGCAAACAGCACTGCGAAAATTGGCTCTTAAACCTTGTTTTTTTCACACTTAGTGCAAAGAAGTATTTTGAAAAATCTTCACCAGGGGAGGTTTGCATTTGCCAGCAATTTGAAGATAAAAATCCTTTCAGTGTCGTTTCAACTTGGCTGTTCTGTCCCTGTGCAATACCAAGACTGATTTATCTATGCTGGTGTTAAAAAAATGGAGCTACACTGAAGCGATAATCTGGACATTCTGCAAGCAGTAGGGAGTAAGTAACTTTCTTCACCATTAAGACAGCTTTAACTTCTGGTTTTTATCTTTTCTTTATTTTTTTTCCTTCTGTTAGTATTGCAAAGAAATGAAAAAGGAAGACATTTATATGATTAAATAATTAATTTCAGCCAGTTGAATACACTTCCTATTTTTGGTCAATTCTGTGCTTTTTTTGTTTGATCTTTGAGAACAAACACTAATTAAGTACTTAAAAATAGAATTATTTATATTAAAAAATCCTATATAGTTGCTGAAAACAAAAATTCCAGTCAATAACAGATTTATTACTTGAACTCCTGTCCAGTTATGTTCCCAGAAAGTGATATGGCCAAATTTCACTGCTATATTTGTAAACATACTACCAAGGGCCTCACTTTGTGGGGACAAACATAAGAAACAAGTGATTCACATAGGACAACAGAATAATTAAAGATCCCACTAAAACTACTAGAATCTTCACCACTATCACTGTTACTTTTACGGGAAAGCTGATTAGTATACAACAAGCAATGATTATCATCTCTATAAATACTAAAATTAGAGTCTTTCTTGCCTAAGGTTAAATCTGCAATAAAGAGCTTCTCTGTATGTTCACAGCTTCAGCTTTGAGTCTTTCTGGCATTCTTGTATTTGCCAAAAAAGCCCTTGTTTGGATGAAATTATGTTCACAGCAATCTTTGTGTGGTATAGAACATTTTGTTAGTATAGTGATGCACTGTTAAGGGCAATGAAAGCTGCTGCAGTTTTCTGGTATGCCAACTAAATGTGATGATGGAAAATGTCTTTAAGAAATGAACTGTCGGTTTTCTCTTTTCTCCATGCCAGCCACCTTCATCAAGGGCCAGATACAGTAATTGCATGCTACTCCACCTGTCAGTGGTGTATACTACCGAAATATTACAAATATATTTTAGGTAATGCCCACAGTAATACCAACAGCAGAACAACTTTTTTGACAAGTGAGATACAACTCCTCTCCATTCAAAGCAGTTGTAAAAAAGTGTCAGCTCATTTATGGATTGTGGAGGGGAGGAGTTAACTGAGTCACACAAAACTGCTCAGTCTGTCAAAAGTACCTGGGAGATCCATGAGATTTACTTAAACTGGCTGAGTGCTTGTCACCTGCTGCTGGGCCACCAATAGTTCATTTTTAGAAACCATGGAAATCCAAGCCCTGTGTAGCACTTTCTACAACCATCCATCCTGTAATGAAATTCCCAGAGCTTGTTCCTTTGCCCACGGTAAAGTCACTGCAGAAAGGAAAACACTATGTAGTGCTTAAATCAGTAACACAACAGAGCAGTCTAGGGCAGTAAATATGGCAGCAACCTAAATGTTTCCGCGAGTGGAAAGAAAAATATGTCTGTCTCAACTGTGTGTTGGAGCATTGCTTGGATTTAATTATCTTCTGGTGCCAGTTGTGTTTACCATCTCCTTGCCACATAAAGCTAACACAGATCTGACTGTAAAATAAATTCATGTTAATGTATACTTTGACAATAAACGTGTAAGGTTGAATAAACACTTGTTTTGGAAGTGCCAGGCATCCCTGGTGCCGCACACAGCACGCAGGCTGCAGAGCCCCGGAGCGCGCAGGCAGCGATGCTACAGACACCGTCGCTACAGACACCGTCATTTAGCTCCCTGGCAGTAGCCGGATGTTTTCCTCAGCTGCCCGGGCCCCAGCACGACAGACGGTGCATTTTCTCCCCGCGGCTGCGGATGAGCGCGAGGCTGAACTGGGATGACCCAGCGGCCAATGCCTTTTGCCCAAGGGCGTCAGGAGTCTCGGACTCGCACGACCCGGGGCAGCGGCCTGTCTGCCTCGCCTCCGGAGCGCGGCACTGCGTGGAGCGCCAGCAGCCCGGGGCTGGCAGGGGTCGCAGGTCGCTGCCGCTGCCCACCGACACCTGCTGCCGCCACGGCCGCGCCACCCCCGACGAAGTCACCGCGCTCCCCCGCCCCGCCCCGCTCGGCGGCCCCGCCGCGCGGCGCAGGGGCCGGGCTGTGCCCGCCGGCCGGGGGCCGCCCTGTCCGCCCAGCGGGAGCTCGGGGCGGCGGCGTTTTTCCGGAGCTGCAGCTTGTCTCCTCCCTGTCGTGCTCGGGGGCGCCGCC